ATATTAGTTTTGGATAATTTTTGGTTAATTTACAATTCCTTTTCTCTCCCATGCCTGTTGTTTCTCATTCAAACCAGACTGGTGCTCGCTACTTTATGAAGGGGCAGTCTCCCTGAATTCTCAATTCCGAAGGTCTCTGGATCTGATGATATTAGCTTTGTTCCATGGGATCGACTCTCCATGGCCAATTCCTCCTGCGTTACTGAGTTCCTACTGCTGGGTTTCTCCAGCCTTGGGGAATTACAGCTCATCCTCTTTGTGGCCTTTCTCTGCCTCTATTCAATCATCTTGAGTGGAAACTTCACTATCATCGCAGTCATCCGCTCAGATCGCAGCCTCCACACGCCCATGTACTTCTTTCTGTGTGTCCTTTCGACTTCTGAGACCTTCTATACAATTGTCATCCTGCCCAAGATGCTTCTGAACCTGCTCTCTGTGTTCAGGACCCTGTCCTTCACGAGCTGTGCTGCCCAGATGTTCTTCTTCCTTGGCTTTGCTGTCACCAACTGCCTGCTGCTGGCGGTGATGGGTTATGACCGCTATGCGGCCATCTGCCGGCCTCTGCACTACGCCATCCTCATGAGCTGGACGGTGTGTAGACAGCTGGCTGCAACTTGTATTGTTGGGGGCTTCCTCGTATCTCTGGTGGGAACAGCTCTGGTCTTTAGCCTCCCTTTCTGTGGCTCCAACAAGGTCAACCACTATTTTTGCGATATTGCACCAGTCATGCAACTCGCCTCTGCCGAAACCTACGTCAATGGACTGGTCATCTTCATCTGTGGGGTCTTGGTGCTTGTTGTGCCCTTGATCTTCATCTGCATCTCCTATGGCTTCATTGTCCATACCATCCTGAAGATCCCGTCAGCCGAAGGCAAGCGAAAAGCCTTCTCCACCTGCGCCTCCCACCTCATTGTGGTCGTCGTCCACTACGGCTGTGCCTCCTCGGTCTATCTGAGACCCTCAGCCAAATACATATCAGGCGAAGACAAGCTGGTGACAGTGACCTACACCATCATCACCCCACTGTTGAACCCGATGGTGTATAGCCTTAGGAACAAAGTAGTACAGCGGGCTATTCGGAAAATGATTGGGAAGACTGGGCTTTCACTTAAGGCTCTGTAATTAGAACATTTTCAGTAGTACACACACATGTGGGCCAAATATGTCAGTAGTTGTTTAAGTCATAAACATTTCTAGTCTATTTATCTGTATAGCAGTGTGGCCCTGGGTGAATTATTTGACATTGTGCAGCATTAACGTTCTCTTATGGAAAGCAGGCACAGAGCCCTGCTCATCTGACGGTGCTGCCCAGAGGGAAAGAGATAGGAAAGCATATGCCACTACAGGTTCACTCTCCTCTTCCTGTTTCTCCAGCGTGTAGGTCTCAAAAGGTCTTAAAAACCATTACCTGTTGCCCTATGTTTAGCTTAGTTGGCCTAAATCTTTGTATTCTTTGCTTAAGGTTATTTCCAGCTTCAAATAAGGTGCTCAGGCCTGAAGATGGCTTAGGTCTTGGAATATGAAAAAATTACTGTATTAGCAATTAGAAGATTTAAGCTTGACATTGGTTAAGTCGGGACTTTAAGAAGCATATAATCGTTCTCCGAACCTAAATTGTAAAATATGGAAAACAGTGGTAATATAATTTTCCTATCTTCCTCCATAGCATCTTGGCTTCTAACAGATCAGATGAAAGAAAGCATGCATAAAATGTAAAACTGCACAGAATGTAAGACTCTTATTACATTAATCAAGACTTTGCACATCTCTACAAGGACCTGTCATTTCTTTCAGCTTCTCCAAAAATGATATTTCTGGTTGCGTTTTCTGACATCCAAGGCAAAAAGCCTCCTCCACTTGGACTCCATCTCGTTGTAGGCATCGCCCACATGTATTGCTGTGCCTCCTTCCTCGGTCTGGGACCCTCAGTCACACTTTGCAACTGACCATTCCTTTGAGCCATAGCATATGTAACATTGAAGATATGCTGCATTAATGCATGAAAAAATAACCAGCCATCCAGTCCACCTCAGGCTGAAAATGTCTATGGGGCCTTCCACACTGAATTTATTAAGAAGAGCGAAGCTACCCACTTTTAAATTTGTCACCAGACTATATAATACTAGAGAGAGAATGACTTCAGGGGTCATCTGGTCCCCCCTCCCACCTGTACAGAGATTCCTTCATCAGTATCTCCAAGAGAAACTCACCTGCTACAACTGGGCATCAGCTACTTCACAAAACACACATTCATGTCATTTTCAGCTCTCGTTTCCTCTCATTCTAGCTTATATTTGCCTCTCTGTGATTTTCTTACTTTGTGTCTCTTGTGTCATGCAGTTAGTTTAATCTTGGTTCACTGATGTTTGGCCCAGTTCTGATGGTCATTTGAAGCTTTCCAATTACTCGTGCGACCTGAATTTCAGATTCTTCACCTTCCTGTGTGCGGTCCTTTAGATATACTAAAGCTTAGCAATATTCTTTTTAAAGCGTAATGGAGAAAACTGAAATTCATATTTCATGTGTGACCTCCATTTCCAGGGTAAAATGTAACTGCATTCTCCCTTGTTAAATTGATATACATTTTCTAATTAATGTAGATAATAACATCATTAGTAATGCCCTCATATTTAAATTATTAGCTCTGTTCTCATTTTTGTCTTCCATTTTTCAGTTTTTGGATGAAGTCTTTTTGTATCATTTGCATTCTTATTAGTTAAATAATTAAGTCATTGAAGCATTTGCCACATCCGTTATTTTTGTTAGTTTTTTCTTAACAGGTTTGCTGTTGTCATTTATTAATCAAGTATTTTTAAGGAATGGATATATATATCTGTGCTGGCATTTAAATAATATGTGTTATCTATAGTTTTTTGTGTTAGAGAATGTGATTGGAGTAAATTCTATTTTTAGAAATTATTGACTTTTATTATTATCGGTTCCTTTCAAATTATTCCTCGTGAAATTTTTCATTTAGATTAAAATAGTATGCATAGTATGCTGTTATCTTAGTTTTGTTTTAAACTATCTTAGCATGCAATATCATTGTTTGTTTCATGTTCATGTGACCTGCAATGATTTCATAGTCCTGAACTAAAATATATCATTGCATTTGTGTTTATTAGCTTCTCACTGTATTTCTAGCAATATGTACTTGTGAACTTTGTTGTGCAATCTGTTTTTTAAATGCTAAATAAACCTTTTGGAATTTAACATATATAATCTATCCTTAACCTTATTAGCATGATGGCAGGGGTATGAAAACATAATAGTGCTTACTGAGAAGGTGAATAGGAGAGAACAGTACACAGGACACATATATTATATAATATATATAAAGGTGAGAGAGGCTAAAAAAGGTTCTAAGCAGAAGAGAGAAAGCAGAAAATACACCTGCACAAGGTGGGAAACCAACGCCAAACAAACCAGTTCAAAGCATAGAACTGAATCTCCATATTCTCTTTACAGTTGATCCTCCCAAATGGCACTGAAAAGACTAAGATTAGCTTAATGTCTTAATAAGGAACACAGCTTCTCCATCCAAAGTTCCCAGGTCATCCTCAGTGACAGCCAATTAGTTCTTTTCTCCATTTCATCACAAGCTGCTACTTCAGTAAAACACAATAGAAATGAATTCGTAGGAAAAGGAAATGAAAAACACCTGAACTGTTATTCTCTGTTCCAAAAGATGTGTCCCCTGATGAGATGCCTCTCTAGTATCAAATTCTATTAAAATTACTTAATATTTATGTTCAATTTCTATACGTCTTTTATCACAAGCCAGTACCTAAGAGCCTGTAGATCAGCATAAGGCTGCAGAGTCATCTGTGTTGCACAACTGGAGTTTTCTTTTACAGCAGTTAAACCAGAGGCGTTCTGTGCTAGAGATACCGGCAGAACTGAGGCCGGTGTCAGGAGCTGAGGACGGGCTGTGAGCCTCTGACAGCGGACAGCACCGCCCACACCTTGCCCTCGCTCATCGCCAGAAGGTTGACATCCAGGCATAAAGAAGGTTGACGTCCAGGCATAAACAATTCCTTTAGGAAGCAGGAGGATTTCTGTGGGAGGTCCCCGGATGTTGGGGGTTACCTTAGCACAGTGAGCGACATTTCTCTGCCTGCTCTCCTGTACTGGAGCCCTCCAGCCTACAAGGTACACGCAGGTACAGAAAGCTTCTAACAAGCAGTTTGGGGCCCCCGTCTGGAATACATTTGAACATCCAAGCCTTGCCAGACATTTGAAGAAGCCTTGAACATGAAACACAGAAATCAAAACAGAAGAGCAAAAAAATTCTGAGAGGAAATATAAAAAATGCATAGAATAGAAAATATTATAACTAACGCCCTCACATAAAATATATTGCATCCATAAATAGTACATCATATTCACTTTGTTATGGAAACAAAACACAGACGGAAAAGTGTGCAAATCATGAATAAATGATCACAGATAAATTACCACATGAATAAATTAACACAAAGTGAACATAAATGGGTCAAAAAATAGAATACTACAAGCACCTCATTACTCTCTCCCTCTTTGCCAATATAACAACTCTTTGGCTTCTAGTATCATGCATCAGTATTTGCCTGGTTTCAAATTTCGTAATAGAATTCTAGAGAGGGCATTCCCAGAATTATTTTGATGCTTTTCCTCTACATTTTACTTCTCTTCTTATCTGCTTTTTCTGTTATGCTCTTTTCCATCATGTTTATTCAGCCTTATGTTCTTCCAAACTTAGACTTCATGTATTAAATGGATTTTCTTTCACTTCCAGCTGTGCCCTGGTCCATCTCTTCTCTTCCCAAAACTTTTCTTCCTCCAATCACTCATAAACTGAATTTTTTAAAATTCTGATCTCTGCTATTATGTCCCCTACCCTATCGCTTCTTTAATTTCTTTTAGCTCAGTTTGAAATGTTTGGTTGGAGTTTTTATCTATTTTTGTGAGCTTGTCTTCCAGACTCTTGCAGGTTGTGCTTGTGGGGTGTTTGTTAATAAATGCATGAACACCCGTGGCATGCAGGGGACCTGCTGGGCAGAGAGAGGGGTCCAGGTGAGTGTCCTGGTGACAGCCGCAGCGGGTCCAACAGCGAGCTCCGCGGTGGAATGACCATTCAGAGGGGGGCTGAGCTGAGCCGGGACGGCCAGGACTTCATACACTGCATCAGTCGGCGTCCGGGCGTAGGGTGCTACAGCAAAGTTTGTTACTCCGGGTAGGGTGTCTGTGCTGCTGGCAAAATGCCTGAAAAGGCGGACAGCCAAAGCTTCCTGCCCACAGCGCTACTGTCAGCTGGGGCAACAAGTCCTTTGTGGGAAGCCGGGTGGGCTGTCTGTCTTGGTTTTCACTACACAGGCACCCCTCTGTTTCCTATCGGGATGTTGTTCTGCTGGGTTGTTTAGTATCATAACTTCACGTGGGATCTGAGCAGGATTTTTTCTGAGTGCATTTCTCTTTGAGACTGTTTTGAAGGCAGGCAGGCTGGCATACTATTCCCAGCTTTGTAATTGTAGAGCGTCTGTTTACTTTTATGACAGGTCAACCCCATAATGTTCCTGCAACATTTGTATGCAATTAACATGTTTTCCCTAATTACTACTCAGTCATTGATTCAATTGAAAATATATACAGAAAATATAAAATTATGTAAGTGCTTTAAGAAGAAAATTTAATCCAAGAAATTATGTGTCTACGTATTGTTGGGAAGTTTGAAAGAGTCAAGAGTCTGACACTGGAATTGTTGATTTCAAGAACTCATGACAACAGCTGAAACCCAGTCAGGGCAACACGGCTGCTGCTGGGGTCACAGCTTTACAGCTTTCAATACTCGCACGGCTTGGGAGCAGAGACTGAGTCAAGCTCCTATAATATACTCTCTGCAATCAGATGCTTGTTTGGCTATCTGTGTAAACAACACAAAAGAAAGATGAGCTCAGTTTTTCCTTCCATTTTTGCTACCATGAGGAAAAACAAAATAAAACTGAAATAGAGGAGAAAGGAAAGCTAAGAAAATAGGTAAATTGAGCCTTTGATGGTATCATCATCTGCGATTCATGATCTGACTGTAATTTATTATTATTTGATGTTCTGATGTGTGTTCAGATATAGGAGTGATGGAGTCCTTCTCCTTTTCATGTACAGAATCCAATTTAACTTGGATTTTTTTCATTTTTTTGCAGTACAGTAAGACGTAATATATCCAGGAACCATTTCAAGTGTGTCAATTGAAGGACAAACCTTGTTTGCTCCATCCTTTGCCGTAAGGTTAGGTAATAAGGCCTGTGAAATCAGTCACACATTGTTCCAATCTCTATTCTATCTAGAAAGAATCTTGATTGAATTCCATAAATAGGTACGTGAGACTGAAAATCTCTTTTGAATTACATCACTAAGAATGGAGGTTTAAGACTTTCATCTCCATTTTTTCCTGTTATTTGGATGAAGCCAGCTTATGGAAAAAAGAAGTCTAGCACAAAGAGTGAAGCTAAATCAAGTGAAAGAAAGATAAAAAGATTTATTTATTCAACAAATATTTATTGAATGTCTACATTGTACTAGGCAATATCTTAAAGATAAAGCTCATGTATTTAGTGAAACAGAAAAAAAAACCTCATGGAGATGAAAAACAGAGATATGAGAAAGAGAAAAATATAATCAAAAGTGCACATAAAATTGTGACTCATGTTAGAAAAAGTAAATTATAGATGAGAATTTTTTTAGAAATCAAGACTCAGAGTCAAGACTCATCATAATAATGTAATGCAGGTCTCTGAATAGAGTAAAATCTAATCCGATGTGTTTTGAATTTCTCAGGTATTTAAACTAATAAAGCAAAAAACTCTTTTCCTTTCCCTATTCTCGATTATACCATGTTTTTTTCTGTTGAAAATCAAAGAACCTACTGGTCTTCTTTTTATAATTTTTAAGATTTCTTCTTTTCTCTTTCCATTTCTCTCAATCGTTTTTGTACAGAGTATGTTTTGCGCACTTGTTTAGGTTCTTTAGAGAAACAAACCAATACAATAGAGATCTTGATCTCAAAAGATATTTAGTTGTCAAGCTGGAGAGTCAGGAAAGCAAATGCTGTAATTCCAGTACAAGTCCAAAGACCTGGCCAGCAGTATAGCTAGTGTTCCAGCCCATGTCCAAATTCTCAGGCAACAGAAAAGTAATGTTTCAACTCAAAGACAATCAAGCAGAGACAGAAATCTCACTCAGCTTTTTTATTCTATTCAGATCTTCAACAGATTGGATGACACCCACCCACACTGGGGAGGGTAATCTGCTTTTCTCAGTCTATTGATTCAGATGTTAATCTCATCCAGAAACACCCTCATAGATACACCCAGAATAATATGTAGCTAAATATCTGGGTATCAGAGCCCAGTCAAGTCTACACATAAAATTACCCATCATAATTTGTTAGCTTTTACATTATATAGTAATTTTGACGTTTAGATATCCTCTAATAGCTGCTTTCATTGTATTAAATATGCAAATTTATTTTTCAGTGCAGAAATGTTTCCTAACATGATGTACTGGATATGTTTAAGTTTTTCTTCTTTGTGATCCCATATTTTTAAAATAATTTAATTCTACCTTTAACATACACTATATTCTTTGTCTTCACCTACTATGTTTTTTTCTTTAATACAATGCAATATTTAAGTTTTTTTCTCGTCCTTACTCTTTGGGGTAGAGAGAGGATCAATGGAAATGAGATTCCTTGAGGGCTTGCATCTCACAGAATCCTAAACAATGTACATATAGAAATAAGAATTGCTTTCCTCTAGTAATTGCTAGAAAATATAACTGAAACCTATGCTCCATATTGTTCTTATGACATCCTTGGGGTGGTGCCTGATTACACTGCAGAAGTCAAGGAAGCCACTTTTAGACTAGTGTGGACCTGGTGGTTTGGAGATGAAGTCCCTGGGGATGATACACAGCACGGATGGACACAGCTTTCCTGGAGATCAAGTGTCTCAATTTGAGTTCAGTTTGTGTACTTTTCTCTGAATATGGAATTAAAAGGATACCCATGGCTAATTCTTGCCCTGTGTGCATGAAATGTATTAGAATATTTGAAAGGAATATGTTTCATGCTAATCAGGAACCTGAGTTTAAATTCTAATAAAAAGGAACGACTGTATTTAACTTCCTGGACAAGTGTCTTCAAGTGCAGGAAAAAGAGTTGAGAGGCAGCTCCTAAGTCCACAACAGTTGTGTTGAGAAGTCATTCTAGCAACCTAACGGCACTGTATTTATTCCTGCCTGAAACCTCAGAGGTCTTTGTACAGGTTTCTTTAAAGAGCTATGCAGACCCAAGACTGGGGACTTGGCTGGTATCCTGTGGAGAAATGTTTATTGAGAAAGATGCAGTAAGGAGGCCAGAAGTCCAGGTAATCCAGGAATTCAGCAGCTATCAGGAGGCACTGCTTGTACACATTTGAATATTGCTGAAGGTCACTTTTGGTAGCTTCTGAACATGAGATAACTGGAAAGAAAAAGGCTCTGAGTCAAGAGTCGTTTCAGTTGGGAGTCTCTGCTGCTCTGAGGGCAATGGCCGCGGGGAGGCGGGGCTGCCAGCTGCAACGTCCAGAGCCACTGGCGGGCGCTACAGCAAATGGAGCCTGGTCGGGGAGGACCTTGGTGCTTGCGCCTTCAGTCCTCTCTGACAGCCCCTGTGAGTCACTCATGACTCAGGAGGGAGGGTAGAGAAAGTGGATACATCTGCATGATCTCACTTGAAGAGGAAGGACTGCAGTTCCAAGAAATTCAAGTTCTAGACACTGCGTTGGCTGAGTCCAGCAACAGGGAGCCTGACTTTCAACTTTATTTCAAGTACATGATAGAAAAACAGCAGCAAAGGAATGTAAAACAGGCGCTTAATTTCCGCCCCCAGCCCCAAACACCCCTCTCATCTCTCTTGGGTCAGACTATCAGAGAATTGCAGGGAAGCATGAGGATAACTGGTGGACCAGCCAAGCCCTCTAGCATGTGACCCACACGGGTTTAATCCTTCTCCTTACCTGGGAGGCAGACACTTGGCGGGAGATCTTCCCCTCCCTAGGGAGCTGGGTCGAAGCGGAACACCAGCTCTGGGACCCGCACCTAAACGCTCCGTAACTTTCCTTCAGTTCTCAGATCTGCTCTGTGCTGCTGTTCTTCAAGGTCCTGGGTTTCTCAGCAAAGACATCTCTCTTTTCCTCATTTCTCACACTGTGCTGCTATGCCCATCTCCTTGGTGCAGAAATGGAATTTGTGAGGTTCCCATGAATCTAGACTAAAAGGGAGAACTTCGCTTCTTCTTTTGCAATGATGAAGAAAGTCTTTATTTGTCCTGCCCAAGTTCAAGGACAAAGAGGACGCCCCCCCCTTCATACAAGATCTCAGAAGAGATAGCCCAGCATCACCTCCTGAAGTATAGGTCTTCCACATTCATGTCTCCTTCCTTAATTTGCAGTTGGCTTCAGCTCCTAATGAGCTCCAGGCAACTGGGACTAATTTCCACGTCATTGCCAAGGCCAATTTTTTTCTTCTTCCGTTTTTATCCTATTGGACCTGTGAGAATGGGGCTCTGTGGTGTTTTCTGTATTCTCTTTGCCCATTGAAAGGATTGGAACTATGCCAAAAATAATGTTGCACTAATGGCTCCCTGGGGTTTTGGAAAGTATAAATATAAACCAGCATGTTGGGACTAGCCAGAACTAATAAGAGACTAAAGAAAAATTCTTCATTGATGATTTGGGGGCTACTCAGAATTCTCAATGAAGGAGGTAGGAATACACCACAGTCTTGGGCATTGAGATGTCAGTAGTAGAAAGGAGTAGAGTAAAACCATTTCTGAAAAGAAATGATTGTATGATACTAAATTGTTTAGTCTTATTTGATTAGATTTCTGGGTTTCACCGGGCTCTAGGGACATAGCCCAGGCTGGTTATTTTATGTGGGAAATTGAGCAAAGATTACCTTTGGGTCTACTGATTGAGAAGTGTCAGTCAACAAGATAATTTTAGAAATGTTCTAATTATCTTGTGAGCTTGTCTGTTTATCTCTAGCAAGTGATAAAAAAGAGCACAGGAAGAGAGTAAGGCACAAATATATACGTGGGAGCCTGAAAACATGAAGAACTGTACTATGCGCTGGGGACATAAAATAAGTCATCACCATCTTTAATAGGGACAAGGATGGTTTCAAACACATGCCCTAAAATATGCTCCCTAGAGCCTGTGGAATGGACTCCCTCTCTCTCTTTGTCAATCATCTTTGAAAGACTGACTTCTGTAGAAAGTCTTCCCTGATAAATGAAAAAGAAGATGCAGATACCTACAACTCCTTGTCAAGAATGAGCTTTCAGCATTTAGTTCCCTCACTCCCATCCTCATTTGTCACATACAACCATTCTCTGGTGACAATGGCAGATCAAAAAGTTTAATAAACAATGAAGGGTTCAAAGAAGTGAGTATCTAACAGAGATGTCTTCCTTTACAGACCTTCTGCTGTCTTCAGACTGCACTGTTCTAATATCCTGTGGACAGATAGCTTACTGCTTAAACCTCACAGATGGGAACTGAGGAGGTAAATAAATTACATTTCTCAGGAAAGATCCTGGTGGTGGTGTTTTGTTAACCATCAGCTGATGCATGAAGTGTTGTGAAGAGCCAAAGTAGTAATAACAATGATGATAATAAAAAGCAGTGGTAGGTCATTCATGAGAACTGGGGTTCTACAACTTCTCGGCTGGATGACAGATTAACATGTGGGTCATACCATTGTAACTATGCAGTGTGATCTGGTAGTTTGTGGGATGTAGCTCTGTTCCCAGATATCTCCTTCCAAGGCTTAATATTCCACCATCCCTTTTACAGATGCCATCTAAACAATCAAATATTTAGTCATCAATTCATTGAACAAACTGTTTTTAAGTGGCAATTTGTTTTTATATGTCATGGGGAATATAAGACTGCCCCCAAGGCATTTACACTCTGGTATATGAGAATGTAGAAGCTGCTGTTTTCCATGATACATTCCTGTACACAATAGGATGTTGCTAAATAATTCAAGAGAGGAGTCAGTTTACATCACTCAGATAATTGGAGACCAGAGTGGAAATATTTGGTGACCAAGACTGGAGAGAAAGTGGACGAAGGCTTTCCAGGTGAAGGGAAAAAGATGAGCAGAAGCCCCGAGGTGAGATGCTGCAAGATGAGAAAAGGTAGTCTTGCTGCAGAAAAACTACCTTTTATATTGGGAACACTGCATTTGGGAAGAGGAAGGAAGAGTCGGTGAAGACAAGATGACTCAGTGTCATTCCCGTTAAGAATGGTACTTTGCTTACTTAATATAAGAAAATGACATAACAAACAATAAATATTTATTAAATGTACATATTATTAAATTCATCCATAAATTAACACTTTAATGAATGAATAAATTAATGGAAGTGGTGACTTGTCTCCTCAGACATGTCAGATCTACCCGTTAGCCAGTAGGCACTATGCCCCACGTAGATAGAAAAATGACGCTGGTCCTTCTGTTTCGTGCCCTCTCTTGAAAGTAGGGGAACCCAAAGCAGAAACACTCAGAGATGGTGTGGACGAGAGAACTAACTGTACCTCACGTATGTAAGATCAGCTGTTGGTCTCGAATTGGGCTACATTAGCTAAAGAATTTTCATTTTGTAACCCACTTCTGTGCTTTTATTTTCTTCAACTATTTGGTCGTTTTCGATTTTTTAAATTACGTTATTAAATTCAAGTTGAATGAAGGAGAAAAGAATCTGCCTACCCTCTAGCAAGGAGAAATTGGAGGTGATGAACTTTGAGGTCAAGTGTGTCCAATGGCGAGGTTAGAAATCCAGAGAAAATGGGAAGAGATATAATGGCTATAATGAAGGAGGTCTGATGGGTTGGATTTATCTCTTTTTGAAGTTTAAAATACAATACCAAGTGGTGGGGCCTTGATAATGGGGGAAATCTACTAACCACAATGTTGCTCATGTGATTGTATATTATTGATACCAAAATAAAAAATAAAATAAAATAAAACTATGATACCAACAAAACTCTGAATCAGGTCTGTCTTCTTGGCAGAATGGTAGACAATAAGATCAACGATTGTGAGAACTTTGTATTTTTCCAGAGCTACTTAGATGCATTAAGATGGCTTCCAACTCCTCTCTATCAAGTGGATCAAAGAGATTGTGGGACAAGATGAAAGGATGAACTAAAGTCAACACAATGGTATTGTCATTAAAAATATACATGAATAGAAGTTGGGTTTGAATGTCAGTCTAGTAGTTTTGTGAAAATAAAATAATAGGGTTTAAAAAAATAAAGCCTTACGTAGATATGCTTCAAGTATGTCCAAAAAGAGACTTCAGAAAAACTAGCAACGATTTCCTGTAAATACACACATACAGCAAAAGCTGACATTTACCAAAAGCTTTCAATGTGCATGTGCTCTGCAAAGTGCTGTACTTTTCATCAGAAATCCAAAAGGGAGGGACTAGTTGTATCTTTATGCTACAGATGAGAAAACTGAGACACAGAGAATTATAAAGAACATATGTGACAGAGTTAGGATTGTTACAGAAGAAGTTTTCAGACATTTCCATTCCTTAATTGCTATTCAAAGCAGGCACTGTGAAAAAATTACTTCAACACTATAAGAAATGCAGAAATGTTGCTGGAAATATTTAATTTAAGCTTTTTGAAACAGTTCCATGAATTGACATGAGTGATAGGGCATTTTCTATTTGGATTAGTCTTTCTCCTATTTGTTGTTAATAAGATCTTCTCCTATTTATTGTTCCTCATTGCATAATGGACCTAACCACCTGCATCTTTCAAGGTAACAATTTGTTCCTTCGTTCCTGTTCTCTGCAGGTCAGTCTTGGGGACCAAGTCAACCGAACCAATTTCTCCTCTGTCACAGAGTTCCTGTTGCTGGGATTCTCTAACCTCGGAGAAATCCAGCTCATCCTCTTTGCTGTTTTTCTGTGCTTGTATCTGATTATCCTGAGTGGGAACATTACCATCGTCACTGTCATATGCCTGGAATGCAGACTCCACACACCTATGTATTTCTTCCTAGGGATCCTCTCCATCTCTGAGACATGCTACACCTTTGTTATCCTGCCCAAGATGCTCATCAATCTGTTGTCTGTGCTCAGAACAATTTCATTCATTAACTGTGCCACTCAGATGTTTTTCTTCTTTGGCTTTGCTGTTACTAATTGCATGTTGCTGGGGGCCATGGGTTATGACCGCTATGTGGCCATCTGTCACCCACTGCGGTACGCTATCCTTATGAGCTGGCAGGTCTGCACACAACTGGCAGCCATTTGTGCTGTGATTGGCTTTTTGTTCTCACTTGTAGGCTCCCTCATAGTCTTTGAACTCCCTTTCTGTGGCCCCAACAAGATCAACCACTACTTCTGTGACATCTCACCCGTTATCCAGCTTGCCTGTACTGATCCCTCCATCATTGAACTGTTCGTCTTCATAGGTGGAGTTCTTGCACTCATAGTCCCCCTGACTTTCATTTGCATCTCTTATGGCTTCGTTGTCCATACTGTCCTGAGGATCCCATCAGCTGAAGGCAAGCGAAAAGCCTTGTCCACCTGCGCCTCCCATCTTACTGTAGTCATTGTCCACTATGGCTGCGCCTCCTTTGTCTACCTGAGACCATCAGGCAAGTACTCGACCAGCAAAGATAGGTTTGTGACAGTGACCTACACACTTGTGACTCCACTGTTGAACCCCATGGTGTATAGCCTCAGGAACAAGGATGTCCAGATGGCTATCTGGAAAATGATTGGCAGAGGAGGATTTTAACCTAAAGTTCTAGAATGAGAACACTTCACGTCCATGAAACATCAATCGTAAGGTTGGTGGTACTGTTGTCTTTTATTTACATAGCACTTTATAACTTCATAATATAAGCTTCTCCATGGTATTATTTTAATGGGCTTAGTGGAGTACAGCCTTAAACTTGGGTTAATTTTTAATTTAGATACGAGTCTCAAATAGTCTTAAACTTGCACAAGGTAAGTATTTTGATCTTTCAGGATACTTAGTTAAGGATGTTACTTAGTTAGTCATCTTAGTTAAGAGTACTTAGTTAGTCTCTTCCAGGAAGGATAAGAAACATATCTTCAATGGCGATAAGTGTAGAAGGTTCAGCCATCACAACTTGTCAATGGTTTAGGAGAATCTTGGTAAGGTCCTTTACAAAAAACAAAAAAAGAGAGAGAGAGAGAGAATGCTGGAGAAAATGGAATAAATCTAATTGAACATCATTAATATAACCATGAGCTATCAGTGTTGGAAATAACTCAAATCTATCACTTCCAATTGTTCCGTCACTGCAGGAGTCTAACCTGCAGTAATATAGCCTTTATTTGACTGCTGAGTAGGACGTCATGCCACTACAAAAACATCTAAGTGTTACAAAGTTCAGCCATTACATATCTTCTTCTTTTTGGTCATAGACATTGTACCTAGAGATGTATATCTTGTATCAAATATTTCACTTACATAGCAGCAACTCAAATATTTGAAGATGGATAAAATGTTTCCATAACCACACCTTCAACTGGCTGATAACTCCTTTGATCCTCATGATATATCAGAGTTCACAGACCCCTTAAAATCCTGGTTATCTTTCCCTGGATCATTCTCAAGATACTTTCATTTTGTTAATAGTATTCTCCAAATGAGTCCCCAGGAAATGTGTCAAAACTCAAGGTGACTTAGGATCAGCATCTTCTGTTTTTGAAAGTCAATTTTTTTACTGAAGTATAGCTGATATACAATATTATATTGGTTTGGGGTGTACAACATAGTTCTTTGACAATTACATACATTGCTAAGTGCTCACCAAGGTAAGTGCAGTTACCATCTGTCACCCAGAAACACACTACCATACTATTGACTATATGCCCTATGCTGTACTTCATTCCCATAATTCATTTATTTCATAACTGAAAGTTTGTATCTCAAGATCCTAAGTTTCTTCCTTATCATTTCCCCATCAGCACTATCACATGTGTGCTCCTCTCTGACTCTTATGTCTTTTAGACCAAAGGATTTTATATTATGTATCTACAATCCTATCTTTATAGGGTCTATTTTGATTAGCTTAGTTGTATTATTCTTAAAAGCAATCTCGTTTGTGGTATTTGTTCCCCTAAATCTCTACCTTTGACTTTAGGCAAGAACATCCAACTCTTTTCACACCTCACATATAATACCAGCCTACTCATAATCACTCTTATAACCCCATTTTATCTCTTTTCCACAAGCTTGAATGGCAAACACTATTTGTATAATGTGAACATACAACTATAGTGGCTGCATGGATTCCAATACATATTTATGCTCAATGGCAAAAAGTACTATGGCTAAATACCAACACTAGCCAAGGTCCTATTGTGAGAATGATGGTAATGTGGTCAGATGTTTTCCATCTTTGTCTCTGATGCTCCACAAAAGAGTCACTCAGCCAGTCTCCAGAAGTTCCATTTTAGAAGCCCTCACACTTGACTTTTGCTCCATTGCATCAGGGGTAGCATAGGATATACGCTCTTCTCCAACACCTGTGAATTCTAAAAAGTAATAACTCATCCCTTGAACAATGTGCCTTCTTGGAAATAAGGTTAGATTGGTGGGTAAAGCGGAACAGATTAATTTGTGACACCACAGGAATTTCCTGTACTTCACTAAGACTTCAGCAATTTTATAGTAATCTGAATGGTAGAAGCCAGAGTCTGTGGGAAAATTGGGCATGACTCTAAGAACTGAAATTAGGAAATCTTTTGAGGTGCTTAAAGGCCCCTGCGTTGTCACAGAGACAGATGCCATGGTTTTGTGTTCTGTGCCGTCTCTCATGTCCCCTGCCACATATCTCTTCTAAGCTACTTTTGTGGCAATGATAAACCCCATAACAATTATACTACCTAGAGGCATTCTTAAAGCTTATGTTCTATGTTCCATTGTTAGAGACTTCTTTTTCTTTATTTTAACAAAACCCCAGTACAACGAAATTAAGTGTGTGGGAACAGGTACAGAGGGTAATGCTTCCCAGATCCCGAGGGCATTCTGAGGGCGGTCTCTCTCCCACAACCCTCTTTTCCCCACCCCTCCCTCATCAAACTAGCTCTCCTGGTTCTAGTCAGAACTTCAAACCATCCTACCTGATTACTAGCTTCAGAATTTCATTGTAGACACTAGTTTTTTTCAATGTTAATTTATATAATCAAAGAGGAGTTGGACGTTGTACAGCAAACCCCTAACCTTTAAAAACCCAGCAATTTGCCTTACCTATTATCCTCTTTTAGCAATTGAATGCTGCTGGAGAAAATTATATAATAAATCAGATTATTATAATAAGTGCATAACCACCATCCTCAAATGGACACCCAAAACAATCTAGAAATTTTTTACATGATTTTTCTGAAAAAAAAATCAAGCCTTCTATTTTCCGCAGAAACTTTTGCACATATGCTCATGTCTATTAAAACATCAACTAATGATTCTCCCTTTCCACAGCCTTCTGTATCACCCCTTCCAAACACAATGCTACCTGATGACACTGCATCTTACTTTAGAGAAAAACGTGAGGTATCAGACAGAAAGTCTTTTCTTGTCGCTGCATTTACCAATGTACTTGCATTCCAATTGTTCTAACATTTTTTTCTTCATTCTTATTGCAATGGAAGTAGTCCCTGTTAACTTCTCAGGATCACTTCCATTTCACATTCTTTGCATTTGTCTATTCCTTATTTATTGGTGTTCTCTGAATACTTCTCCATGTAATCAGGACTTTATTTTATTTTATTTTCATCTTGGACAACAGGGATTGCCAAGATGACATGATGTGAATACACACAAAATAGGAAGGTGTCTAAATTTTTTCAGATTGAAAAAACACAAAGTCTCAGGTTGGTTATACGAAGCCACTCCTACCATCCAACGTGCAGACCTAAAGGAAGGCTGGAAAGGCTCAAAGAACTCAGATAATTGTTCTTAGAGAAAGATATTTTTATTTCCCTGTGATTTGTGAAGTCTTTTAGGAAAAAGCAGGCTTAGTACAGATACTGGAAAATGAAGTGGGGAGGAATCGACTGACTGATATGAATTTAATACATTAATAAAGCCAGCTTTCAGATTCTGTTAATTATTTACTCTTTCTTCAATGATTTACTGAGTACCTGTTATGTGATGGAAGATGGAAAGGCAAAAGAAATATCATTCCTGTTTTGAAATGTTGAATCTGTGACTTAACTCCCCAAACTGTTTATATAGATGAGTAGTGGTTCTCTTTTATTAAATAAAAGGTGCTGAAAGTTATATTTATATACATGGTAAATGGTGTTCCCTTTTACTTTTTTTTAGCTCCCTTTCCTAGACATTTTTAAATTAAAAGGATTGAACTGATTTTAAATTAAACAACCTCACACCAGAATAGGAACAATCATACTTAAAATAATACAACAAAATCTAGCCACAAAAACAAAATCTATAATTTCTGACATTTAACTAAAAGATACTAGACATTCAAGGATGCAAGAGAAACACAATCCGTAACAGGAGAAAAATTACTCAATAGAAACTGATCCAGAAATGATAGAGATGAGATAATCATTTGAGAAGGACATTGAAATGATCACTATCAATATATTCTATATGATCAAGAAGGTAGAGGAAAATATGAGCATGATGAGATAAATGAAAGATAAAAAAACACCCAAGTCTAATTTATAAAGATGAAAATATATACTAGCTAGAGTGAAAAATACACTGGACAAGGTGAACAGCAGACACTGCAGAAGAAAAAGTCAGTCAACTCTAACACAGAACAATAGGAGCTCCGCATAATATAGCATACACAGAAATAAAATTGAAAAAAAGAAAAACAAACCCAGAGACTCAATGACCTGTGGGAAATTATGAAGCTGTCAAATATGCACATGACTGAGGTCCCAGAAGGAGGAGCAAGAAGGGAGTCAGAACAATATTAGATGAAATAAAGGCTGATGATTTTCCAAATCAAGGTAACATTTATGTACCCACAGATCCAAGAAGCTCAATACCTCAAGCAGATTAAAAAGGAAAATGACACCAAAGTATATAAGAATCTAGTTACTGAAAATGAGTGATAAAAGGAAAATCTTAAAAATAATGAGGGAAAAGGAACATTACATACAGATCAACAAGAATAGCAGATGACTTATTATCTGAAATGATGCAAGCTAGAATATAATGGAGCATGTGAAAGGTAGGGGGAAAAATCTGTCAACACAGAATTTTTTACCCAGGAGAAATATCTTCAGAGATGAAGGTAAAATAAAGTCTTGTTCGGACTGTCAGAAGCTGTGAACGTCTATCATTAGCAATTTGTACTATAATAAACATTAATGATGTAGCTTCAGGCATAAAGAAAACTTCACTAGATAAAAGTTTGGAATCACACAAGGTTAGGTGAGAAAATACAAGATTACATTAGTAAATATAAAATTCACTTTCTTTACTTTTTCATCTCCTTGAAAGATAGTTGATTAAAGCAAATGCAATGGATTGTAAGTTTCAGAATAATAGAAGCTAAAAGTTAGTACAAAGAATGGATTATAAGGTTTTCACATGAAATTATATCACATTATTTGAATAGTGGCAGTGATAAGTTATAGATGTATATTATATACTTATAGCTGTGCTAGCTAATAAAATAGCCTCTAGCCACATGTGGATATTTAATTTTAAATTAATTAATATCCAGGATAATAAAAAATTCGGTTTTCCAATCATAGTAGCCACATTTTAATACTTAATTGCTA